GAGGCAAGTGGATCTCTGAGATCATCAAGGCCAGCCTGGTCTACATAGTGAGTTCCAGGCCAGCTGGGGCTTCAGAGAGACCCTGTCTCAAAAAATGAAAAAGAAGAAAAGAAGGAAAGCCATATCTCACCAGTGCTCATGTTCAGTACCCTGTCTAACATGTAATGAGCATTCACTGAATAAAATTGAAAACACCAACATTACCATTCTTCTAGCTTATGTTCTCACACTTGCCAGTACAGGTTGAGTATCACTTATCCAAGATGCTTGGGACCAGAAGTGCTTGGGATTTCAGGGTTTTCTTTAGTTTGAGAGTATTTGCATGGATTTTAAACTGGTTGAGCATTTCTAATCTGAAATAGTAATGCTCTGAAACCCCAAAACTCTTGCTATTCTTATATGATTTCACTGACTTCTGGATATGCTTCAGCTTGCCAGTGTCCCTCCAAGTTCCAAGTGAAGTGTGACCTGGACTATAGGAAACAGATTAGCCCTCAGTGTTGAGAATCCTGAAGTTTTTATGCTCAGAAGCAAAATTTCATGTTCTTTTTTGGTTGTGAACTAATTTTTAAGCTGTGGGTGTTACCAGTTTATTGCAGTACTGTTTTTAAGGGTGTTAATGAAGTGAGGTTAAAGAAATGATGTTTGGGGTACATAAACTTTACTCACACTGTTAATCTGTCCTCTGGTTTCTTAACTCTTGGCTTATATAAACATGAAGGGTCAGAAGGTATGCTTTTCTGAATGCTCATTTGATTTTTGTCAATCAGCCTATTACACAGTCTTTTTTTTTTTTTTTTTTTTTTTGAGACAGGGTCTCCCTGTAGCCCACGCTGGCTTCACTCTCATACATATTGCCTGTCTCGCTTTCCCAGTGCTGGGAAATAGACACCATGCCTGGTGTCTATTACATACTTTTTTCCTCACCTTTCAGTAACACATCATCTGAAGGAGGCAAATGTTTCACTGAGATGATGCTGGGGCACAGGATTCTATCCATCTATTGTTTGGCAAAGTGGAAAAAGAAGCTATTTATGGGATATGTATTTACCAGCAAAGTGAGGAAGACTTTTTGAGATATGGGAATAGAGCGTAGGAGAAGGAAAATAGGACTGAGAAAAAATAGACTGCAAAGCAGTAACAAAGAAAATGCAGCTTCTGGATCATTTGTCTGTCTACACCTTCACTCATGTTGTTTCTTCCATGCAATGACTGGAAAGACAGCATTGTTACTCTTGTAACATGAAACAGGTGACAGCCTCCGAGTCCTATAACTGGTGAATGACTAAAGTAGTTTTTAAACAGGCCTGTCTAGTCCTGAAGCTTATTACTGTAATTTGACTTAGCAGATAGTTTTGTCCATAATATGAAGCATGTGGAGACACTATAGCAAGATGTTTAGCAATATACGAAGACCCTGGAGCCCATTTGCTTGGTTCAAATCCTGACTGTCACAACCCTGCCGCCTACCAACTATGATACCTTAGATAAGTCACTTGGTCTCTTCATTCCCTTCATCATCAAAGTGAAGATAATTGTGGTATCTTTCCCTTTGAATTGTGAATTAATTTTAGCATATAATAAAATGTGAAATATAGCTCTTGACTTTCTAGACACAATATATAAAGCACTAGTTAAATATTTACTGATGCTATTAGTATTAGTACTAATCCTTTTAGTCTTGAAAGACTATATCGCCAAGAAGTTTAAGGAAAATGAGCGTAAATGACTGCGATTTCAAACATCTTTGGAAGAAAGAAGGGGAAAAAGCGAGCCCTCCCTCCCTCCCTCTCCCTCTCTCTCCCTCTCTAGCCTCTTTGCCCTTTCTAGAATTGAGGACCAATTCAGACCTTCTCTTTAATATTCTTAGAAAAGAAGAAAAGAAAAGAAAAATGAAAAGTCACTATATGTGATTTAAAATGAGAACCTGGGGCTGGGAAGATAACTCAATACGATGCTTGCTGCATGATCATGAGGACCTGAGTTCAGATCTCTAGTATCCATATAAAAAGCCAGGTCCAGAAGTGTATGCCTGTAATCTCAGCATTGGGGAGCCAGAGACAGTGGAATCTGGAGGTCACTGACCAGCCAGCTTAGGTGAATTGATGAACTCTGGGTTCACTGAAAAACTGTCTCAAAAAATAAGATAGAGAATAATTGAGGAAGGTACCCAACATTGACCTAAGACCTGTATGAATACTTGCGTGCATGTATACCCAGGTATACACATATATATACACACATACACCACACTTACATACATCAAAGAACCTGGTAGCCTCAATTAAAATTTTAATTCAAAGCAAAAATTTAGAAGTTCTCATTTTTATATTTTCTTGTTCCAAAATAGAGAATGGTTTCCTTGCAATTCAAATCCATAGGATGCAAACAGATTATTACATGATAATAAAGCATTTGGAACTTACCTGATGACCACTTGCTTCTGTTATGATATAACTTATTTATGATATAACTTTATTTTCCAGGAGACTAAAACTTGGGAGGGGTGTTGTGGATTTTTTTTGACAGGGCCTCCCTAGACCCAGCCCGCCTGGAAATCACTATGTGGACCAGGCTGGCCTCAATCTCACAGAGATCCCCTTGCCTCAGCCTCCCAAGGGCTAGGACTAAAGGTGCATGCCACCACGCCCGGCATTAAAATTTGGTTTTTGAAATCACCAACATTTGTAGCTTATGGAAAATCACTCACTTGGTTAAGGGAAATTAAGTAGTGGAAGACTATATCTGTTACTCTATAGAGGACCTGAGGGCTTGTCTTATTTTAAAATTAATGAAGGGTAAAAAAGAGCCTTTATAAATTTCTGTTTAGAGACCTGAGGGGCAAAAATTTTTCTTAAGCAATGGATTAACTCATTATTTTTGGCTGTGTTAATTAAGTCTATCATTTGTGCAGAACTCACTGCAAAGTCTTAGGTCTGCCTCCCAAGTGTTGGGGTTAAAGGTGTGCACCACCACGCCCAGCCTATTAATTCAATAAAATATCTTATTAAAGTATTTTTATTTATTTTTTTTTATGTGTATGGGTGTATTGCTTGCATGTAGGTAGGTGCACCTGTGTCATGCAGTACCCTTGGAGGTCAGAAAAGTGTGTCAGATCCCCTGGAACTGGAGTTATGAATGGTTGTTAGCCACCATGTGGGTGCTAGGAACCGAACCCAGGTCCTTTGCAAGAGTAAACGGTGCTCTTAACCACTGAGCCATCTCTCCAGCCCCACTAAAGTGCTTTTGCATTGTGTGTGTGTGTGTGTGTGTGTGTACACGTGCTCTACTGCACTCATGGAGGTCTAAGGACAACTTACAGGAGTCAGTTCTCCCTCTTCCATATTGTGGGCTTCTGGGATCAAACTTAGATTGTCAGACTTGATAACAAGCCCTGTTATCTGCTGAGCCTGAGCCAATCCTCATGTTAATTTTTAGTTGCTCCCAGATTCAGTTCCCAGCATCCACATGGTGGGTCCCAACCACCTGTAACTCTAGTTCCAGAGGATCTCACACTCTCTTGATGGCTTCTGATGGGTCCTGCACTCATGTGGCACACATAAACTCATACACACACACACACACACACACACATAAAAATAAAGAATTTTTAAAAACTATATATTATTCATGTGTGCTACAAATGTAATTGATTACTACTTACAAAAGCTTTATTTTAAATATTAATTTATTGTACTATTTTGGACATAGTTTTTCATTTTTAAACAGTGCCATTTAACCTTTGCATGACAACCATTTGCAATATTTTATTTTTTTAATTTTTAAAAAATATTTTATTTATTTTTATTTTATGTGTATGCGTGTATTTCTTGCATGTATGTGAGTCCACCCCGTGCTGTGAAATGCCATGGAGGTCAGAAGAGGGTTTCAGATTCCCCTGGAACTGGAGTTAAGGATGGTTTGTAGCCACCATGTGGGTGCTGGGAATTGAACCTAGGTTCCCTTCAAGAGCAGTCAGTGTGTACTTAACCGCTGAGCCATCTCTCCAGCCCACCATTTGCAATATTTTAAAAAGGAAAAAAAAAAAAAAAGGCGTTCGTGAAATGTATTCTTTTTTCTCATAACAAATGAAATATAATGTTCTGAATGAAACCCTTTTTACTACTTAGAATGAAAATACTTTTCCTAAGCAACAGGAAATAACAGACTTTGACTAGTGACATTCATTTCCGTTTAAGTACATGTTAAAGTCACTTAGATTGAGTTAATCCTTTCTCAGAGCTTCTTCTCTGCCTATGCAGATACCACTTTTCACCACCCTCCTTTACTGTCACAACCAAATAATATCTCTTCACCCAAGCCAGTTTCTGTTTCAGTTGTCACCAGTTCTGTGCAACAAGTTTAAACTGTAGCTTCCTCTTGATATCACAGCAAATGATGAAGACTGAGAAGGAAGGACTGGAAATGTAGCTCTGGGTAGAGAGCTTATGTAGCATGTGCAAAACAGTCAATTCCATCCCAGCACTTTTTTTTTTGGCTTTTTGAGATGGGGTCTCCTGTAACCACAGCTGGCCTGAAACTCACAATGTAGACCAGGCTGGCCTCAATCTCACAGAGCTCCACCTGCCTCTGCTTATCAAGTGTTCTATCACCGTTTTATAAAGAAAAATAAATTTTTTTGAGGTAGGATGTAGCTAGTGGAAGATCTAGAAAGAGAAGGGGCCAGATCATCAAGGTCCACATTGGAGAGTACGAGAGTATGTTACTTTTTTTTTTTTTGGGTGGTGGTGGAAACTTGAATTTAGGCCTTTACGTGTGCTAGGCAAGGACTCTCTGTATTCCCATCCCAAGCATGTATTCCCTTTAAAAACCAGTCTTGAGTTTCTCTAGTTGTCTTCTGAACTCATTATCTCTCTGTGTTAATTCTTTCTTCCTTCCCATTGTCCAGTCTTAGAAGTTTGGACATTCTTAGAGCAGTTTTCTAGCTTGATCTGCCCAGTCCTTAAAAAGTACATTAATATTCTCTCTCTTGTTGGCAGGGGCCTTGTGCATGACAGCCGGCATAATCTCCAGTTGAGGGGCTTGGTGGTGCTGCTCCTTTCTAAAGCAGCGGGGCCCAGCACCAAGAACACTTCCTCTCCGAATTATGACATGGTCAGTGGGATACTCCCACGGTAAGTCCTTCAGCATTGCTCTCTGGGTTGTGGAGTCACTATTCAGCTCCTTGTCATTCTCTGAGTCAAAGACAGAATAAAATATATTGTAGGCTTTTAAAAATGGAGTTTGGGGCTGGTGAGAAAGATCAACAATGAGGGTTCTTGCTGCCAAGCCTGATAACCTTGAGTTTGATACCCGAAACCCACATGATGGAAAGAACCAACTCCTAAAAGTTGTTGTCTAATCCAGATACATGCACAGTGGACACACATACTGCATGCACACATGTACCCACACAAAAACATTTAAATGTAATTTTTTTTGGTCTTTTTGAGACAGGGTCTCCCTGTAGCTCCAGCTGTCCTGGAACTCACTATGTAGACCAGGCTGGCCTTGAATACACAGAGATCCACCTGCCTCTGCCTCCCGAGTGCTGGAATTAAAGGCATGTGCCACCACGCCTGGCTTTAAATGTAATTTTAAAAAATGAATTTTTGCTGATCTTAATGAGTCTGAGAGTCTTGGCCAACTCCCATGTATACCTCTGGTAAATTTCCCCAGATTAGATGATAGATAGATAGATAGATAGATAGATAGATAGATAGATAGATAGATAGATAGATAGATGATAGAGATAGAGAGATAGAGAGAGATAGATTGGATAGATAGATAGAGAGAGATAGAGAGAGAGATTAGATAGATAGATGATAGATTAGATAGATAGATAGATAGATAGATAGATAGATAGATAGATAGATAGACAGACAGACAGACAGATAGATCCGGCTTCCCCAGATATTTTTATGAAACTTTCATTTCTCCCTTGATTGTTCAAAGTGTTCTGTTCCTCACTATTTTTCCCTTATTATGGTATCATTTCATCTCTGTAAAGACCTCTGTGTCACATTCAAAATGATACCTAGTTCTATAAAGATTGATAATACCATTATTTTAGGAGAAGTGGTCTATATCTTTTGATCAGTTTTGCTTATTTTTATGGTAAAGAGTTTACTGGAATAAGTTTTTACATCTTATGCATTTAGAGTAAAATAAATTTATAAGTACATGTTACTTAATTTTTGCGATGTCTAAAATGAACTTAATTTTTTAGTTTGTTTTGCAGTGTATTTTTAACAGTCTATCAGTAGTGTTTTATTTAATCCTGGAAATATGTTTGGTCAATAACCTATATGGAAACAACAACCTTGGCATGCAAAATTAAAACCCTAAAAACACAATGACAAGAAAGTTTCCTTACAAAAGAAGCATTTCTGGAAACTTTGACTTAGTAGCTAATGAATCTTAACTGATTTACTTGAAAAATAAATCAAAATCTTTGCTTTTTTTTTTTTTTATTCCTAGCAATCTTAGTCATAAATATTTGTTCCTTCTGTAATATCAGAGTTGCCAGTTACCTGTTACCTTCCAGGTCTTATGAACCTTCCTCATTAGCCAGCAAGCAAAGAAGATTACTGTCATAGTTATAAATGACTGCTCCTATAGCCATCATTATTTTGTATATTTTTTTTTACTATTTATCTACATAAGTATCTTCACTAGGAGGGTTATATTGGGATCATTTTCAGTTTTTGTTCACTCTGAATTAATTTGTATTTTTTTATGTTTATAGGTTGTTACTCATTTTTATGACAGTTATCTCCTTTGATCCTTATAGATGCTAGAGGAGTTGTCATACTTATTTACTCTTGAGAAAGCAGATTCAAAAACCTTGAGACTTTTAGATTATCTATCTAGCAGATGGGGAAATTTGAGTCTCCAACTGTGAATCTCTTTTCCCCAGATCTCACGTGTCTGCCTTTCTTTTCTCTTTCAATAATTCATCTGATTGGTATATTAGTCTAGATATTAAATTGATATGCTCCCCCAAAAATTATACTTGTAAAAATGTCCTCAGAAGCTTATATGTGGAAAGCTACTTTTAATAAATGTGGATCTTTTCACCAAACTTATTTTGTGTTAGAGCTCAAGCCTTTACCTTGTCAATTTTATAGAAAACTCTTAACAAAATTTAGCAAAGGTAACATGAAAAAATGCACAAAGATTTAGAATGAATACTAATAATCCATTAGTAATGGAAAGCAAATGGATCTCAAATCCCGTGGGTCTGGGTAGGAAGTGATAGAGTTGGATTGAAATCCTGTTTTTATTCTAACATATGTAAGAGTGCTATAATTCAGGGACTATTATACATGCATGTATGATGCACCATAATGTTACCTCATGTTTCTACCTATATAACCTCTGTGAAGCAACTGCATTGCTTCTCATCCTTCCCATGGTGTAATCTGAGCACTCTGAATAGAAGAACTTAGTAAAAGAATAGACATACATTAGAAACTTTCTTAATGAAGCTGTTCATGGTTGTGCACACCTGGAATCCCAGTACTTGGAAGGCTGAGACAGGCAGGTCACATTTGAGGCCTGCATTTTACACACTTGTTAAGGTAAAAAGCTGTTTTGGTATAGGAATTTTAGAAGCAATTGCTTTGCTTCTTTACCCCTGAAGTCAATTTGTTTGGCTCCTGCTTCCTTAATTATTCAAGTGTAACTTTCGCTAGAGGCTTGTATCTATAATGTCACAGTGAATTATTTAACATTTGAGGAAAGTACTGATTTGAGAGCTTTTTAATTTACCTCCACAGTACTGGGGTTTACATTGTTGATGGGTTTTTTTCCTCATAAACCTGATTTTGATGTCAGCTAATGGGACCTGAGTAAATTACCTACGAACCAAAAGTGAGGTTAGGTGATCTCTTTTGTCTGGCCTCAGGATGTAACTGGTTCTGTGGATATACCTAGCAAATTTATCACGCAGTAGCCAAGAGAGGCAGAATTTAGGCTATAATGTAATATATTTGGGGAAAAAGGCAAAAAAAAAAAAAAAAGTATATCTCTAAAAATGTTCTGTAAACATCCACCAAAGCCTTTCACCAAGACATGGGTTTAGGGTCTATTTTACCAATCCTAACTTTTAAAAAATTAATTGTAAAGCCAATAAAAAAAATAATAATTACTGGGGCTGGAGAGATAGCTCAGTGGTTAAGAACACTGGCTGTTCTTGCAGAAGACCCGGGTTCATCCCAGCACCCACATGGCAGCTAACAACTGCCCGTAAATCCAGTTCCAGGGGATCCAACAGCCTCTTCTGTCCTCTGTGGGCATTGCACGACACGGGTGCACTTACCTACATGCCAGCAATACATGCATACACATAAAATAAAAATAAAATATTTTAAAAAATAATAATTACTAGGGCTGGAGGTATATAGCACAGTGGTAGAAGAACACTTGCCTAGCATGGGCAAGTCTGAGGGTTCAAAGCCCATTACCAGAAGAAAATATATTAAATTTAAAATATCTCGGGGGGCTGGAGAGATTGCTCAGTGGTTAAGAGCACTGACTGCTCTTGCAGAGAACCCAGGTTCAATTCCCAGCACCCACATGTTGGCTATGAACCATCCTTAACTCCAGTTCCAGGGGAATCCCATGCCCTCTTCTTACCTCTACAGCATTGCATGACATGGGTGCACTCACATACATACAGGCAATACACTCGTACACATAAAATAAATAAAAATATAAAATAAAATATCTCTTAACCATAATAAAAAAAACGTTTGTAACTTCTTATCTATTGATGATAGAATAGTTTTGTTTTGTTTGCAAAAGTTAGTTTGTACCACATATAATGCATATTATACTTTTACAAATTTAGATTTTTCTAATGTGGCATGCTTATTAAGTTTAAAGAAATTCAGGTGGTTGTTAATCACTGTTTTTTTGTTTTTGTTTTTGTTTTTTTTTTTGGAAGTAGGATCTTACTGTATTGTCCAGGCTAGACTGAAACTGTTAATAGCCTAAGCTGTTATTAAACTTATGATCCTTCTATCTCTGCCTCCCGTGTGCTATGAGTATAAGCGTGTATCAGCACACTAGGCCCAAGTGAATTATTTATTTATTTTTATTAATTCTTTGAAAATTTTATACAATATATTTTGATCAAATTCACCTTCCACTCCTCTAACTCCTCCCCCCGCTCCTCCCAGATTCACCCCTCACCTCCCCACCCCTCTTTTATTTATTATTTTTATTTTATATGTATGAGAGTATTGTCTGCATGTATGTAAGTGCACGTGTGTTGTGCAGTGCCCAAGGAGGTTAGATTAGGGTGTTGGATCCCCTGGAACTGGAATTAGGATAGTTGTTAGCCTTCATGTGAGTGCTGGGATTCAAACCTGAGTCATCTGCAAGAGTAGCCAATGTTTTTAACCACTGAGTCATCTCTTCAGCCCTTCTTTTTTTTTTTTTTTTTTTTTTTTTGGTCTTTTTGAGACAGGGTCTCCCTGTAGTCCCAGCTATCCTGGAACTCACTGTGTAGACCAGGCTGGCCTTGAACTCAGAGATCCACCTGCCTCTGCCTCCCGAGTGCTGGGATTAAAGGTGTGTGCCACTATGCCTGGCTTCTTTTCTTTTTTAAATGAGACTACATTGTGCTGCCCATTTATTCAAAGTTTGTTCTACCCATAGACTCATGAGCATAGGACCATGAGTACATGGGCCACTGGAGTGTGGTCAACATATCAGGGGCCAAACCTTCAAAGAAAAATGACCTTTCCTCCCCCAAAACTATTAACTATCAATAGCTCCTCAGTTAGGAGGTAGAAACTCATGATCCCATCTCCATTCCTTACTAGAATGTTGACTGGCTTGATGTTGTGCAGGTCTTGTGCAGGTATCGATAGCTGCTATGAGTTCATGAAAAAAAAAGGGGGTGGCACTATTTTACACTGAGGCAAGGGGACCACAAGTTTAGGGCAAGCCTAGGCTATGTAGTGAGTTCAAAACTAGCCCAAACTAGTAAGTCCCAGGACAGCTATAGAGAGACTGTCTCAAAACAAAAACATACACACAAAAAAAACCCCACCAAAACCAAACAAGCCAGATATGGTGGCACATGCCTTTAATCCCAGAACTTGAGAGGCAGAAAAAGGTACAT